AACACTTCTACCCTGACCTCTGAGCCTGACCACTTCTACCCTAAACATTTCTGCCCTACCTCTGAGCCTGACCACTTCCGCCCTGACAACTTCTCCCCTAAACACCTCTACCCTAAACACTTCCGCCCGGACCTGACCACTTCTGCCCTGACCTCTGACCCTGACCCGGACTGGCTCTGAATGGGGAAACCGCCGGTGTTAGTTACCGGAGCCGTATTTGACGTCATGCGAATGCAGGCGGACGTTGTGTCTGGTGTTGACGAGCTTGAGCAGGGAGCCGCACGTGACGTGGTTCAGGTCCGAGTCTCTGCCCTCGCAGCTCGCGCACAGCAGCAGGACCAGCAGCAGCGCGCGGACGCCGCCGCGAAGGGCCGACGAAGCCTCCATCCTTCCGTCTGTTCGGCCGGCGGGGCGACGCGGAGCCTTCCCCAGACGCTGGCCCACACCGACCAATCCCGGCGTGACAAGTCCGGGCACGAGCAGACATGTAGCGGCGTCTGATTGGTCGGTTCAATTTTCTTTTTTTTTTTTGGTCCAACCTTTATTTAAACGTTCGATAGGTGTCTTGACAACAAATGACGTTAAAAAGTAGGTTATTTTGGGGAGGGTCAAACGTGTGCTGTTTAGCATCGTAATTTTCCGTTTTACCTGCTTTCGTTCTTGCATTTTGAAATAACGGAGAGGACACGTGTTTTAACGTTTTTTGACGGCTTGTTTGCAACACCAACCGTAAAACAACCGTATAGCTCCGCCGTAGCTACTTTATTTGACATATATGTTTCCATAACAACATTAACGTCCTGCCAACACTACGGAAGCCTAGATGATTGGCAAAGTATGTCTGAATCAAAATGTACTGATAAACAAACAAATAAGAACAGAAATATATCTTGAACTTAGAATAATAAATTAGAATGATAATTTCTATAAATGAGTCCTACAGTGTCTTTTAGGGAGTGTACTTTTCAGAGCTAAATGTAACCAGGCCCCTCATCCTCCACATACAAACAGGGAGAAAATAAAAGATTAAAGTCACGACCCAGCACACAGTCCGGCCTCTCCAGAACTGCTGGAATATTCTAGATCAGGACTATTATGAATTACGTCCCCGGGAATGTGTTGTAGAGAAAAAAAAACAGAGTCGACTCATTTGTCCCAAAAAGCCATTCAGGGGAAACCTTATCCACAGGAATATTAACATAGAAATACTTTTAAAAAATAGCACTGATGCAATCACAACAGAATACAAAAATAAGGGTACACCAAAATTGTAACTTCCGGAGACCGGAAAGGCAGTCTTTTTTTTAGAATTACAAAGAAAACATTGCTCAAATTGGAAGCTATGACACGCTCTCTGTTTGTCATCCAAATGGCGCCCTCCAGTGGCCGGAGTGGCGAAGTCCAGTTGTGGCCCTTTGGACAATTACATTGATCCAGAGCCGACTTTTAGGGTTTTTAGGACTTTAAAAAAAGATTCTCTTTCCATCCAAGGTTTTTCTGTAGTTAGAACACAAAGAAGATGCAGCAATAACAAAAGAAAAAGAATAAGCAGCAGCAGAACAAAAGAAGAAGAATCATGTCTTAACGGAACCCTTCAAATTAATTGGTTGAAATCCTTGATTAAAAATGTTCAGTTATTCTGGTATTGTGTTCCTAATTATATATATTTAACAAAATAGGTAGTCTAAAACTTGTACTCCTAGCTGATTTCAATATACATAAATTGCCCATTAAACCATCAGAGTTCCATAAACAAGAGTTACTATACTGGAAAACGATATATGTTCATAAACACTCGCCACAATCCTCCTTTATATGGAATAATAGATTCATTCTGCATCGCAATAAATCCTTATTTTACAAAGAGTGGATGGAGAAAAATATTTGGTTTACTATAGATTTAATGGATACTAATGGTTGTGTGGTAAATTACAAACAATTTAGTGCAAAATATCAGTTCTTCCCTCCAGAAACTGAATTTACCAGATTACTTAACGCCTTGCCAAAACAATTCATTAATCAGATTAAAAATATGATAGTTTATCATCTGATGAACCCACAACAACCCAACTATCTTTATAATGGAACATCAATCACTGTTTTTGGAATACTATCGAAAGACAAAACAATAGAACTCTGTTGTAACCTAATTTTGTTTTTAGCAAAAAGTGGTGAGATCATCCCCAGTCTTTAACTTTTTTCAAAACCGAATTCAAGTTATATTTGACATCTCTTAAATGTATTGAATCAAACAAATATCTGACTAAAATACTACTGGAAATGCCCACCGATGTACAACAATCCTAACATTGAATCCCCTTGTTGCTGTGTTGATTATTGTTTCATTATTATCATTCTTTTATTCTTTTTTCCCATATCAATGTGACTTTGTATTTCCATTTTGAAATCAGCCCAGGTCCAGGCCTCACCAGGCCCCACGTGTCCCAGGGGAAGCATGAGGGTCAGGGCAGACTGGTAGAAGGCCTTTGGTAAGTTGTTCTTTCCCCTCGGCTGTAGATAGCTCCTATAGAAGTTTCCCTTTTGTACTCAAATGTCAAATGCACCATCATTCAGGATTCAATTCTTTCAGGAACACTGTAAACACACATCTCTGAACTTTCAGGTGACCGGGTGCTTGTTTGGGAATGTCTCAAAGCTCTTAGTAATGTAGATACAACACAAAATATTTAGTTGTCCGAGGTCCTTGCAAATATTTTTGCATCATTTTGAAGCTCAGCTTTTGCCTTGAGTAGTAGAATAGTTGGTCTTTTAAAAAGCAAACTGTGAGAAGTTTGCTGTTCCATCTTTTTGGCTTCTTTGCTTTATTGCTGCTCTTGGTTGGTTCTATAAACAAGCTGGTTTTGGACTGGACTGGAATAGATTGGACGGATTTTGACTGGATCAACTGGACTCAAATCATCTTGAAATGAATTGTGTTTTTGAAGGGCTTCGAGATTTGACACAATATAGATCCTATTGAATTTAAATCCCAGATTTTGTGTTTTTCAAGAGAACTGTGTGTCCGTACAGTCATTTATGTCACAGAAAGGTTGATTTGCTGTATATAAAAACATTTGTTACGTTATAAAGTCATCTAGACTGAATGGGCTTCGCACTGCAGGGGCATTTTTGTCACAACACTTCAGCTAAAGTTCTTCCTGCCTATCCCATACTTCACCTTTAGGCAGAAAATCCCAATTTAAAGGACCCTTGAACAATAAGATGGAGTGATCTTGTACTTTCTGTGTCCTGAGACCCAGCTGCGTCCTACGGGCTTTAAACGCAGCATTTTTTTTTTATTTTTTTTTTGGGATCAACCCTCTCATGGAAACTTGCTGCAGACTCCGGAACCTCCGGCTTTAGGACCGTGCGCCGTGACGTGCGCGGGGCCAGACGTCGCTGCGCGGCCCCGTCTGGCTCCGTAAACAGGGCGAACGGTCAGCCCCGCGGAGACGCTCCTATACGGGGGAGAAATAAAGCAGTCTTCGCCTCCGAACAGACACGAGCACGGCGCCGGAGTTCGGGGGGGAAACTTCCAGAAAGTCCCGGCGGTCGCCACCGACACCGGATCCCGAGTTATTTGCTGCTTTCCTGGAGAGAGAGCCAACTTTCCTCTGGAAATCACGGCTCCGACTGGGTATTTGATTTGGATTTAAAGGGAGGGGGGGGGACGAAGCTGAACGCTCGCGGAGGTCTGCGTCGGCCTTTGGTCCGGAGGAAGAGCCGCTGGGAGCCCCGGGCCTCAGCCGGGGGGCAGCAGCCGGGGGTCAGAGCCGTAGACCCCCCCCCTACACACCCACAGACACACACCCACACACACACACAGACACACACACACACACCTCTGCTCATCCCGCAGGCTCTGGATCCGCTCCCCGGGCCAGATGTGCCAGCGGCCGTCTGCGCCTTTACGCACCCGGGCGTTGCGCGCGCCTTAGCCAGCGGAACCCCCCCCGGAACTGGTCCAGCTCCCCGGTGGTCCTCATCCTCATTAGACACATGCTGACCGCCGGCGCGTGAGAGAGCCCCCTCCCCCCCCTCCCCAGCCCTCTGTGACCCGTTCCCGTCTGTCTTTCACGCGTGAGGAGGCCGGAGGAGGAGATGAAGCGGCCGGGGCTGGGCCCCCGGCTCGGCCCGGGGCTCGGGCTGTGGCTCGGGCTCTGGCTGGCCTTTAGCTGGGCCGCCGCGGGCCTGGGCATGTCGACCTGCAGCGGGCTGGACATGGAGCAGTTCCGGAGGAGGCGCATCGAGGCCGTCCGCGGCCAGATCCTCAGCAAGCTCAAGCTGGCCAGCCCCCCCGAGGACTTCCCCGAGCTGGACGAGGTGTCCCGGGACGTCGTGGCCATCTACAACAGCACGCGGGACCTGCTGCAGGAGAAGGCCAACGCGCGCGCCGCCACGTGCGAGCGCCAGCGCAGCGAGGAGGAGTACTACGCCAAGGAGGTGCACCGGGTGGACATGCAGCCCTTCTACCCCGCAGAGAGTGAGTCCGCCCACACAGGCTGAATGTACCCTGTTCAGACCACAGATCTGATGGGGACCCAAACCTGGTTCCCATGAGGAGCCCCAACATATGTGAGGTCCTGCTTTGGGTTAAGGTAAACAAAAAAAGGTTAAAGGACAGCAGCTGGAGCCAGAAGGTTCTGGGTTGGAGTACCTCGGGGAACCAGGACCAGAGGGTTCAGGGATGGAGTCCTCGGGTGACCAGGACCTTTCTGGGTGGAGGGTTCTGGGTTAAAGTCCAGGGGTCCTGGGTTTGAGTCCCCAGTTTCTGGGTCCAAGTTCCGGGGGGAACCAGGATCTTTCTGCCAGGGGAACCAGGACCTTTCTGTGGCCAGAGGGTTCTGGGTTGGAGTCCCGGGGGAACCAGGACCTTTCTGG